ATAAAACCTGCCCTGGTATAACTATGAAGTACAGTGTCAAAAATTCATGAAAAAGGGCTATAGAGGTAACTTTGTGGACCTTCATTCCCGAATATGTGATTCGCACGTAGAGTAGTTTTCAGGATCACTAGTAATCACTCTGAAGTGCGGTATCGCACACACCTGAGCGTGAGCAAAAGGTGCTGAGACAACACGATGATGTACATAAGATTTAAATTAGGAGTAAAAATTATCATAGAGGGAATATTGGATATCTTTGTCCTACAGAATTGGAATCAGGATTCAAAATATTTTTCTAGGAGCTATCTGAATGTTAAGAACGTTCGACAGGGTAAATCAGTAAGAGAACTATGTAGATGTTCACTGTCTAAGGAAGGATGTGTTTAGTTATCATGAGGTTGCACTAGTTAGTGTCATCAGATGATTATCAATGGTATTTCATTGTATGGGATTTGAAGTATTGGGTTGGCTTATGTACCATGCAAATTTGGATGCCACTTTATCAATCCACTATGAAGGATAATATTTTTGTAAGTGATACACGTGAGGGTGAGTGTGAGTGTTGACTGATGCGAGTTAGTCTCGGTGTGGGTCTTTTCTGTCACTACGGGAACACTAACTCCACACCCACCCTATGTCGGAACAAACACCCCACACCCAGAAAAGTTAATCCACGTTTGAATCAAATAGCGGAGAACGAAGGCCCACAAGGTTACTTCTAAGGCACTTTTTCATGAATTTTGGAGGACTATGTATCCTATAGTCACACCACAGCAGGTTTCGCTCAAGCTAATATGCTTGGTATATTGTAGTCCTTACGGATTCACACGGACTCTCGAAAAGTCACTGTAGTTTTAAAACATATAGAGGACAACGAAGTTCAACAAGGTTACCTCTATAGCGCTTTTTCATGAATTTTTGACACTCTGTACTTCATAGTGATATCAGGGAAGGTTTTGTTTGGGCCTCATGTCCTTGCAATATTGTAGCCCTCAATGATTCCCAGTCACTCTAGAAAAATCACTCTGGTTCTGAATCGTATAGTGGAGAACGAAGTTCTACAAGATTACTTCTATCGGGCTTGTTCATGAATTTTTGAGACTGGACTTCTTAGTGATATCACGGCAGGTTTTCTCTGGGCCTCATGTTCTTGCAATATTGTAGCCCTCAATGATTCCCGGTCACCCTAGAAAAATCGGTCTGGGTCTGAGCCGTATAGTGGAGAACAAAGGTCCACAATGTCACCTCTGTCGGGTATTTTTGAATATATTTAGGGTCTAGGTTTTTGATGTGTCGAAGTAAAGGAAGAGTTTAATGGATCTAGCTGAAATTTTGAGTGATGATTACTATCATAAAGTTGAGTGTTTGCTGAAAGTTTCAGGTAAATCTGTCTTCATTTTCTAATTGGGCCGAAATGCATCGGAAACGTCCGCCGTCCTTTGGTTAAGTCGTGATTACTCTGAAAACATATTTCACTTTCTTGCAGTGCTTGAAGAGCTCTAGGTGATTCAAAATAAGGCTTTCATTTTAGGGAACACAGTTCAAGTCATTAGAACGCAAATGTCCTATGAATCCATCTACTATCAAATTTTGACATTGTGATCTTTTGAAGACATCGTGGGCAATATTTTTTTCGTACTTCTTTCTCACTGTTCTGTAGCACTGGACAAAAGACATCATTAATATGTGGAATAAAAGAGTTTTATATTTTTCTTCCCTTTTTCTCGTCGGATATGTACTATTTTGGCTTTATTTATTAAAATTATACCCGATCACTATTCGTGTTTCTGAAAAGTATATGAGTGCAGATTCATCTATGATTCGAATGCATCCTCGCCCTCGGTTTCCGTTGTATCAAAAGAATGCAATCGGTTTTCTTGTCGCTGAAAACTATGCAGTAGTATCTTCTCAATTAGTCCAACTGGACAACAGATTTCAAGATAATAAAACGTCCATTATCATTATATTTCACACAGGATATCCGCTAAGAAAGGATATCATACTAATTAATAATGCAACACAGCGACAAGTATTCTTTCTCAATATTGATCATATCTTTTATTCGTTGTCACATGGCTTTGATCCTTATTTGACCGAGCCAACCTTTCGGAAACGAGGTAAATGGAATTATCACAATATGATTAGATTCTGGTTCAAATTAATCTTCGAGTTGCCAGAACTGGAAGGTATTGAATATTTGATGCGTTTAGATGACGATTCGAGAATTCTTGGAAATTGGTTCAATGTATTCGACATAATGCAGTCAAAAAATGCCGTTTACTTTGCAAATCAGGAATGGAATGAACACGAAGTTTTGCTACCGGGAACCATGAACCTGAAAAATCTAACAATCAACTACCAACAATCTGCCAAAGTATCTGTACAGGATCCGATCAAATTGAAGCGTGCACTGAGTAGAAAAAATGCAATGCTGGCTTACTACAACAATTTTGAAATAATGAAACTTTCTTTTTTCCGCAACAAGAATGTGAAATCCTGGATCGACAATGTCGATTCAAGTAATGGAATATTCAAGTATCGATGGGGTGATGCCGTTCTTCGTTATATCACATTGGCCCTATTCGCAAAACCAAGCGAAGTACTTCACAGATCTCATTACAATTTGTCGTACTGTCATCCCTGTGGACATCTCACAAAGAAAATATAGGGACGAAGTCTGGACATAAAATATATGTAGTCTAGAGGATACGAATGCAACTCAATACTCGAATCTATTGGGAAAAGGCTTTTTTGACCAGCTAGAACTTGTTCTGTAGAAAGTTTGGCAGTCAAGTAGCGTTGTGCTATGCTGTTTCTGTAACGCAATTCTGCTCCGTGTGTGATTGTTTTCCTTTGATTTAGCTTGTAGCACGCTTCTATAGCTTTAGTTATTTTTTCTGGCTGGCAAACCGAAACTCAGGATTAACTTCCTACTCATTTGAGAAATTGGGGTATGGGTGTAGGTGCGGGTGTGGGCGTGGGTGTAGGTGATGGTGTGGGTGTGGGTGTGGGTGTAAGCATGTGGAAAAAATAAATGACACCCGAATTCACCAACACACCCAAACCCACACCTCACAGTCACACCCACACCCCATATTCCACACTCACACTCACACATACCCACACTCACAAAGCTCAATTCAATGCAATATAAGTAACATTGCAGCGAACGATTCATTTTTCTTATGAAAAGCATCTGTTCATAGGTTCATTTTATTCGTCGCCCATCCATTGATTTTCATCTAAACCACACTGGTGCATGAATTATACCGCTCTCTCGAGACCATCGTCAATCGGGTGCACGTTTGGCCCTGTGAAATTTGTTTCATGTTCATCGATATTGATACTGAAACCCTTCTGCAAAAAAGCTGATGTGCGAAAACCCTCTACCATACATGAGATGATGATTACCTGAGGACCATTGTAATTGATACTGCGTTGACGACAATTTTCATATTGACATAAGATAAGCAGTAGAAGCTGGTAGCATACAGCAGTCGTATTATTCAAGATTGGAGCATAACATTTCGTACCACGATTGAATTGTTCGCATGATTCCATATTAACATTCAACATATCATTATACGAGTCCGAATTCAATTCCAAGTGACATCGACGCTACAAAAAACAAAACCAACATTACTCAAATCCGACTTCACCAAATAAACACTTCCCAAGCGAAACCCTCACTTCCTTCATCTGCGAATATGCCACTAGAAGTACAGCAAATGATAATAATACGCCGCGACTATTGTGGGTGCCACGGGAAGACGGACACACTCGTCAACACACACATACACATCACATAACGACTCGTATCTCCAGCGGGTACACTAGGCCCAAAAATCAAAAAACAATTTTTCATGGGGAGAAGTTGCAGATGCCACCACCGAAGTTGCTGCATCTCTGTGTAGAGAAGTGACAGGAGATGCGGTCTCTCAGTATGAAGACATATCTCTCAAGTGCACCCTAGGCCCAAAAAGCGATAACAAATTTTTTGCATCGAAAGAAGCTGGAGAAGCCATCATGGGAGCTGCCGCATGTCTCTGTAGAGAAATGACAAGAGATGTTGTGTGTCTTATGGAGATGCGGCATCTCTTTATTAGAATTAAAAGTAGTTGGTTATTCTTATTCAGATATAACCTCTTTCTAATGAGTTCACTACTCTCGAGACGAAATAAAAATAAAAATAAATATAAAAAAGTTTTTGTGTTTTTGTAAATGTTTATTTATTGACTAGTTTCTGCGGGATCTTAACCCCACTTCTTCAGAATAGACAAAATATACACAAAAAACTTATTTACAACGAATGATCTTCAGGGTCTAAAGGGCCTACTAAAGATACCGACAATACTAGATGGCCGAATGGGCCTCTCGAATGACAATGACAAATTAAGGATACCATATGGCCGAATGGGCCGCTACAGGCGAAAAAGAAAATTGTCTTGAACTGGAATGACCATTTGTAGTGAACATTGTTTGATGATCATTGTCTTAAACTATGATTAAATTATTGTTGGTTGCCGCCGTCGTTGATATGGCATGAACCGTAACGTTATGTCGCACCAATGTCCAATTGTAGATAAAAGAACTCCTGTCCCATAGCATAAGAAGTGTTCTTTTAACAAATAAATAAGCGATTTTGTAAAAGAACTCCTATAAGAAGTGTTCGTCTAAATAAGCGATTTTGTAAAAGAACTCCTGTAAGAAGTGTTCGTTTAACAAATAAATAAGCGATTTTGTAAAAGAACTCTTATAAGAAGTGTTCGTTTAACAAATAAATAAGCGATTTTGTAAAAGAACTCCTATAAGAAGTGTTCATTTAACAAGTAAATAAGCGATTTTGTAAAATAACTCCTATAAGAAGTGTTCGTTTAACAAATAGCTGAGGTAAAAGATTTACAAAAGGACTCCTATCCGAAGGAATAAGAAGTGTCCCTTTCTTTTAAAAAGAACTCCTATCTGAAAGAATAAGAAGTGTTCTTTTGACAACAACTCCATTAAGTAAGTGGTTGATTAATTTTTAGTAGAGATTTGTCTGGTTTCTTTCTAACAAGATAATCTTGAAGATTATCTAATCTTCTAGAACCGAGAATTGGTTTCATATGACAAATGGCTGTATCTGAAAAACAATCATTCCAGAGTTGATGAAATCTGGTCGGAAAATCTTGCATTCCTTTTGAAAAAGAGAAATGACAAAAAATATTGACCTTGAAATCAATTTCAGCCTTCTTTTCATCATTATCTGCGGCATTTAAAAAGATTCTTCTTATTTCAGAATAATTCTTTTTTGTTGGCACTGCACATTGAAATGTTTGTAAAACTCTTTCAAATTGTTCAAGTACAAATTGTATTGGATATTTATTTAAAAGCAATGACATACATATATGAGTTTCTTCACGTTTAAATGTATCATAACTCGAAGAATATCTTATTGCTCGAACAAGAGTTACATAAGGAATATTCTTTTTTTATATGTTGTGCATGTATGCTTGTGAAAGGGAGGAAACATGGTTCGTATGATGGTTTATAGTAAACTTCAGATACCAATTTTCCTCCTCTGTTCTCTAATTTAACATCAAGGTACTCTGCAGTATGTCCTATGAATTCTGAAAATACGATATTATTATCAAGTCTATTCCAGAATTTTACAAGACCTTTTAATATATCTGCATGTACATTTGACATGATAAATAAATCATCTATATATCTATAATATAATGAACATGTTCTTTGAGCCCATTTGAATATTGGACGTTCAACAAAGTACATGTATGTATTTGCTATAGTGAGGGTGAGTGGCGAGCCCATTGCGCCTCCTTTTATTTGTTTATAATATGACCCATCAAGATAGAAATAATTATTTGTTATAACAAATCTGGTAAGAGCTAATATAATCTCTTTTTTAACACCATCGATTTGTTTTAAACCAGATGTTTCAATTAATCTTTTTATGGCTGTTACTCCTCCTTCTTGAGGAATCATTGTATACAAATCAGTAACATCCATTGTTATGAATGATGTGGCTGGTGTAAGATATTTATCCGACCATCTCTCAACTTGTTTTATTAATTGAACCCCATTCAATACAGCTGTTTCAGATGCTAATCGATCGAAAAGAGGTCTTAATAAACTATCTAACCATTTCGATATGGCAATGGTTGGAGATTTGAGACCAGACATTATAGGTCTTAATGGTGTTCCTGGTTTATGTGCTTTCGGTAAGAAATAAAGGTGGGCTAATTCAGCCTCTTCTTGATTAACCTTTAATTTCTCATATTCTTTTTGTGTAATATGTTTATTATACCATAAACCATAAAGGAACTTATTTGTACGTTCAACTAAAGATTCAAGTGGGTTTATTACACCCAAATCTTGATAAGCTTCAGTCTTAATCATATATGTTTGAGTCTTCACTTTATAGTCATCCAGCTTTCCTAAATGAAAAACTTTAGACTTATCTGTCTTTCTGATGACTGTTTGTGTGGCTTCAAATTTATTTCTTAAATTATTGATTTCTTAAATTATTGATTTCTTTTAATTGAACAGATGACGGATGTCTTCCATGACAATCAGTTAAGATCTTTTCGAGCGAGTCTATAAAGATCTGTATTCGTTGTTTAGGTAGTATCCATCCATGTTCAATGAATATTTTATCAATCTTTTTCATAACCAACTCTATCTCAGTTCTCATACGTTTATGAGCGAGATGAGGGTTATTAGGAATATATTTCGGACCTAATTTTAGGAGGGCCTCTTCTCTCCTATTTAAATTTATATCAGATTGATTTATTATACTTGGAGCAAAAAATCCATTCGCATTACTGGATTTAGATCTTTTGGCTCTTGTGTTCCGACTGGCGTCTCTTGGACGCCTCGTTCGGATAAAAAATGCACTTCTCTTTCAATTTCTAATTGAGCTCTTTTATGTGCAATTACAATATATTTTTTAAATAATTCAGAACCTTTTTGATTATTTATAGTTTCTTGTCGTTGTTGTGATAATGGTTTTTGAGTAAAAACCCTATAATCTAAAGGTTCTTCGTCATCATCATCATCATCATCAACAACAACATTTGTATTAATTTGTGTTGATGGTACTTCATATCTATCTTGTGGAAAATCATCAATAAGTTTTTGTAATCTTTCTTTTTGAAATTCAAATTCTTCTTTGACGATTTTTAGATAGAGTTCTGTTGCTTTAAGACGAAAATCTTTTGATAAATTATGTATGTTTTCTCTATTCTCCTGGACTTGTTCACTTGAAAGTGAATTTTTGTCCACAGGAAGATTAAAGTCATACTTTGGTAAGATTTTCGGTATTATATCATTTGATATATGTGCAGCTACCAATTCAAAATTTTTCTTTTTCTTATGGTAGTTAATTAATGTTGATTTGCAAAAGGATTTAGCATACATTTTTTGTTGTTCTGATGCAACATTTTCAAATGTTTTTAGAGCATCCCATTCGTCTTTTTCAATCGAAGCACGACGAATTCTATTAATGCTCATTTTTGCTAAACCCTGTGTAGCTTCTTTAATATAATCGAGTATAAGATCATGTGCTCGTTGTGTTGTAGCAGTGGCTGTTTTAGATGAAAATTCTCGCATATTTCGTGTAATTATATTATTAGCATCGAAACATGTCGATGTCAATTGTACTAATTTTTTCTCACAATTGACACATTTATCTTAGCCTCCCGTGTATGTGTTATATTTACTATTTCTTTAGCCCAATGATCTTTTTCTTTACCTAAATCGTGTGGTTTAAATCACACAGAAACTAGTCAATAAATAAACATTTACAAAAACACAAAAAACTTTTTTATATTTATTTTTATTTTTATTTCGTCTCGAGAGTAGTGAACTCATTAGAAAGAGGTTATATCTGAATAAGAATAACCAACTACTTTTAATTCTAATAAAGTTAATTGTATAATAATCTTAGTTGGCTACTTTAAAGAGTCGAAAGATCTTAAAATTAGCCCAAGAGTAGTTATTTTTTCTAAAATAAGGACACCATCGAGATGTACCTACAACAACATCAACAACGACAAAACAACTTACCATCATCATCATCATCATATTCAATTCCGAATAGTATACAACTTGGTCAACAATATCAATATGGTTATCAACAGCAACCTATGGTTTATCAACCATATGGTTTTGATTCGTATAATATGCCATTAAATTGGCAAGTTCAAAATAACTGGATGGGAGGTACAGGAAGTTGGATAAATGAGCAACAACAAATGCCCTTACAACCACCACCATTGTATTATCCTATTGATAATACCATGTTGACTACTGTGGTTCCTCCTTTTTTGAACCAAGTACAATATAAAGATGATTTAGTGATACCCTCAAAAAGACGTGGTATTCTGAAAATAAGGAAAGAACCGACACAACGTCGGTTAGTTCATTTTATGCCAGAAAATTGGCAAAAAAAGACCAAACCTGATAATCGTGGTAATAAACCAGATCAAATGAATAATAAAGGTCAAAAACAAAAAACAAAAAAATCACCTGAAAAAGCTCATCTTGACACACTCCGTAGAAGAGCACGGCGTCAAGAACAACGAGCAGCTTTACTTGAAAAAGTAATGAATTAGGTTGTTTCAACGGTAATAATCGTTTTAGTCTTCTATCTGAAATAGATAATGACAACAACAATGATGAATATACAGGGTGTAAAAAAACCATTACGCCCCCCCTTCCAGACCTAAAGACCAAATAGTACCCCCAACAATTTTATACCAAATG